TTCCATGATATTCCGGGAGGTTCCGGGGTGTTCCACAAGGTTCCAAGAAGTTCCGGGATGTTCCACAGTATTCCGGGTATTCTAGGATGTCTTAGGGGTTTCCAGTCACACGGCATGTGGCGCAGTAAAAGTGGAAAAATTGTTACATCTAACATAAAAAGTGTTTCAGAAAAAAAATAAAAGGTTAAACTTTGCAATTGGACTAATATCAGAGAACCATATCATAGAACTCTGCAAACAAATAAGTAGCATGATTACTTAATCCAAAGTCTGACAGTTGTTGTATAAGACTGCCACCAGCTTCCTTAAGCAATTTAAAAAATTGATATAGAGACACAGATTTAGCATTATAATAGTAGCTAATCAGGCTATAGAATTGAATTTAAAGATTAAAAAAGATCCAGTACCTTTGCCATTAATGGAACCTAGTCCAGATATGAATCTTAGCTTGGAAAATAATATCTCCAGATCCATAGAAATCAATAGTACCACCAGTATCCAGTTTCCAAATAATTTAAATAACAAAAAAAAAAAGAAGAGAAAACAAGATACAAGATGGAAGGTTATATAAACAAATTAGACAAGGTTAAGGAATTAATATAGGAGTTTATAGAAAGTGGAAAAAAATAGTTAGCACTTAAATAAAAACTTAATTTAGGTTTATAATACATAATCTGTAAAGATGATCTGCAGGTTTTGACTCCATTAAACAAATGAGATCTTAATTCTAATTAATGAATGAGCAATATATTATTCCATAAATCACATCTAAAGACTTTTTGTCACAAATGGGTGAGCTGGGTCAAGAAAATTTATATATACAATTTATATTTGTAATGGTTCATTTTGATTTAATAAATAAATAATACCAACTTGATTGAGAGAAAATAATAATAATAATACAAATGAAACCTTGACACATTAACCTTAATATATACTGAAAGGCAAGTCAATAGCAGCAAGCCGATATGAAATATTTCGATATAGCACAACATGTATCTAGAATAGTTTATAGATAGTAAATCTTGTAATAAGAAATATTCATATAAACTAAAAAAAGTATGTTAAGCAAGATCTCGCTAGTTGAAAAATATAATATATATAATAAAACTTTATATAATAATGTAAATTTTTTAATTTTATATAAATTAATTTTTATTTAAAATTTATAAATCAAATATAAAAAATGTATTAAATTTATTAAATTAAGTAAAATTCAATTATAGAACCATAAAATTTTTTTCATAAAAGTGCTTATATTGATTTATATTATTTAAATTTAATCTAAAAATGTAAATATAAAAAATTCCAATAACATTTTTAGATTTAAATTTTATTTTATGGTTTTATTAATATTTATAATAAGTCTTGTTATAAAGAATAAGTTTATTAGTAGAATAAAAGTTTATATGAAGTAACTATTTTCCATTACTTTATCATATATACAGTATATACTATATATATATAATTATAACCAGAAGACTAAAACAGGAAGGGAATACTAGAACATAATAACACCCAAGATTTGCATCACATGCTTTAAAATGAATGAATTATTTATGGTAATGGTTACATGTGCTGGGAATTAATACCTCTCTCCGATCTCACATTTGAAATGACAAGCAAATTTTATGAAAGATTATCTTGTGACCTCGAAAAAATTCTTGAAAATAGTGACAACTATGATGTCGTTATTGAAGTTGGTGAATCACCTTTAAGACAATCCTACAATGCACATTTAACCATTTTGCGTTATCGCTGCCCCTCTCTTTATAAAGAATTGAATGAAATTTCTCTAAACGGAGATAATATTAAAACTATTCAAAAACCAAATATCTCTGCCAAGACTTTTAATATTATCATCAAGTGAGTTACTTCACCTAATTTTAAATTTACTACGCAAGCTAACCTGAAAATTATTGTGACATAGGTATATATATTGTGGTATTATTAACTTGGAGAAGTTAGAAATCTCTATAGTTGCCGACCTTTTAAATACCGCATATGAATTTTCTCTAGAAGAATTAATTACGTATCTTCAATCTTTTCTTGTTGAAAACCATGCTTCGTGGTTACGCCTCAATTTTTCAAAACTCTACAATCTAAGTTTCCGCGATGATAGATTTAAAAAATTTCAACAGTTCTATAATGATATTATCGTAAAGCATCCTCAAATGGCCTTTGATTCAGAGGAGTGCACTTCTTTAGAAAAAAATGCGCTAGTATCACTTCTTAAAAGGGACGATTTGCAACTAGAGGAAGTAAAGATTTGGAGGTACGTTATCCAATGGGGAAAGGCACAAGTTCCGAGCCTGCCAATCAATATAGAAGAATGGAATGATGAACAGTTTGAGGCTTTAAAGAATTCCCTTCAAGAATGTCTTCCTTATATAAGATATTTCCAAATTCCTAGAGAAAGTATCATAATGGATTTGGGACCTTATGAAAAAATTTTACCTCCTGATCTTTTAGATTATTTAGCGCAACACATTATAGTACCCCAATTATCTGTTTCTTCGAAATATTACCAGCTCGAGATCTTACTATTTTAGAATTACCTGTACGAGAAATTACTGTTCCGTCAAATGTCATTACGAATGAACACGCAGCTCAAATTTCTTCCTGGATAGACGGAGTCACCCATAACGTTGAGAATAATCCATATAAGTTTGACTTGTTAATTCGGGGAAGCCAAGACGGGTTTGAATATAGTACATTTTGGGAGAAATGCAGTAAAAAGAATATGCTAGTGGTAGTATTGGAAGTTGAACAGACCGGAGAAAAGTTAGGTGGATATAATCCTATTGGGTGGGAACCTTATGTATGGGATGGATATACTCAAACTAATGGCTCTTTTATATTTTCACTAAAAACCGAAAATACAAGTCATTCAACTATTAGTAGAATTAAAAAATTTCAGAGAGCGATTAATAACGATTATCAAGGACAAGGTGGTCCATCATTCGGTTCCCAAGACCTTCTACTGCTAGGTAACTTTAAAACAGATAAGCGCTGCTATTGTCGAAAGAGTGATTATGTGAGTCCGATTAGAAGTGAAAAAGGACTTTTCTCAGTAAAGGATTATGAAGTTTTTCAAGTCAGACTACGTACAGAAAATGAATAAATATAAAATTAGTTCGACTATTTCAAATCGAATTTACCACTTTCCCAAGCATTGCACGTTTTAACTATTGATACTGTATATTTTTATCTAAACTTCTTTCCCACCAGTAGAAACGATGCATGGAAGGTTTATTTAACAATATTTAAAAAAGGGCGAATTTGCATTTTAATAACATTAAAAACAAAGTAGATCATTACTTAATTGTTTTTTAATTATTTACTGCCGAAATAAGTCTATCGAAAAATTTGAAATACTTCATATTCTTCGATCGAAAACTTCTCTAATGTACTCCTAATTGGCACTTCGTAACATTCACATTGGCACATACAATTTTTATCGTTGAATTTTTCTGGCATATAAATATCTCGCCTACCAAATCTTGGACCAAATAAACGACTATTATAAATGGCCCGATCAACTTCTTCTAATACTACTCGACTAACTATGGAATTCTGTATTCCATTTTTCAGCGAAAAAATAAAACTACGATCGGTTTCCATATACGAAATTTTTTCCGATTTCCACTCAAGCGGATTATACCCTCCGATAATCTCGTTAGCTCCGCGAATTTTCATCACTATCACTGTATTGCCATGTCCACCACAGAAATTCCAGAACGCGTCATGGTCGAATCCGGACTTACTTCCACGAATAAGTAAATGGAATTTGAATGGAATTTTATCAACATCGTATGTTTTTTTACAATTATTAATCCAAGAAGAAATTTCGGCTGCATTTTTATATGTAATAAGGGTTGAAGAAGGTATTGTCGAATTTGAATCAGGAAAAATCTCCGGTTTGTTCTTTTCGAATGACTCTGTGTTCGATGAATTATTATTCGATATGTTCTCATCCAGTAATATTTCTCTAGATTGTAATTTAATTGCTCGAATCTCTCTAGGTGGTAGAATCAAAGATTTAACCGACTCATTAGGAACAAGTAATTTTTGCCTTATGTCTTTCCAAATGTCTTGTTGTAAAATATGCTTATATGGTTGCACTTTCTTGAAAACATCTTCTCCGGGAATATGAAAATATCTAATATGAGGTAAGCATCCCTGTAAAGTATTCTTCAAAATCTGAAAATCCTCATTAGTCCATTGTTTAATTTCCGAAGGCAATGTTGTGTTTTGAAGCAATCCCCATTTAATAACATAGTCCCAAATTTTTGATTCCTCCAAGTTTAAATCTTCTCTCTGAATAAGAGGTACTAAAATAGATTCAGGTATGGATGCAAAATTGTTAGATTCAAAAAGGACTCTAGGTCTTGTTGCAATAAGGTCATTGTAAAATTTTTGTAGATTAAGGAAACTAGTTGACTGAGTGGCAATTTGATATACATTGAACGAATTTGATTCTAACCATGCGATTTGGTTTTTGAGCATAAATGATTCGAGGTATTGTAACAATTCAGCGAGACCATATTTATTGGCGGTAATTAAAATATCAAAGATGGTAGACGGTTCGATATTTTCCAAGTTAACGGCTCCGCTATAGATGTATCTGTTTCGAAACGTAAAAATTAATGTATATATAAAATAAGGCTAATGTCGTTTATGCTTACTTTATGATGACTTCAAAGACAATTGCCGAAATTTGTGTCTTCGTAATAACTCGGATATTTTTTTCATTAAAGTTAACCTCTTTTACTTCTTCATAAAGTATGGGGCAACGATGGCATAATATAATGCTGTGGACTTTGAATGTTTGCGTGGCAGGTGCTTCTCCTGCTTCGATGATGACATTATATTCATCATTTGTTTCAAGAAGCTTAACAAGATCTTGGGATAGGTTTTTAAAAAATTCTGCCTTCATACTACAGTACTTTTATGAGCTACAAACGGAAACATGTGCTACTTGTGGCAAATTTTTGGTTTTATATGTGTGTGTAACACAAGAATTGTGCAGTCTTCTACATTTACGTAGTTTATAAAATTAATTTTTATATTATAATTTCTAAAAGAATAAAATAAAACTATAATCGAGAAAATATATTTATATTATCAAAGTTCAATGATTATAATTTTTATATAACAATTTTAAAAAAATAAGAAAAAATTCCTACACGTTTGATTTTGTTTAAAAAATCAATACACAGTATAATTATTTAAATTTATAAATGCTTTTTATATATAGCAAAAATTTATTATTATTTTGTTACTATTGTTGTTATGCTTAAAATCAATAAATTTTAAAATTTTAATTAAAATTTTATCATATTAATCGTGTTATCAAATAATTAGTGAAATAGTTTTAAAATAAAAAATTTTTTTTAAATCTAATTATTGAAAATAAGTATATAGTGTTGCTCAACATTTTTGAAAAAAATTTTTTAGATAAACGTTAGTCTAACAAATATTAAAAAATCCCTATATATTTTTAATATTAATTTTATATTAGTTTTAATTTGACTTAAAAATAAAGTTTTTTTTATATATTATATTTCAAAAAATCATAATATTCTTATATTTTTAATATGAAAAAAACATATATAAACTGTAAAAGTCTTCTGGAATTATGGATGATTTCATTAAACAGTGAAATTAAAGAAAAATATTTATTGAACTCAACAAAAAGTTAAGTTTATTCAAATTAAAAATATATCTTTTTTATATATTTTAAGTTAACATATAAAATACATATTGTCATATATCGTTTCTACCTCAGGAGAAAGATAAAGACGAAGAACTAGTAGCAGGGAGGCACTTTAGATGGAC